TAGCCGAAGGATCGGCCGAAGCTACGGCTAGATCCTTCGGCTGCTTCGTGAATAGACCCCTCAGTTTCATATATACAGTTGTGTGAAAAAGTGTTGGCCCCCTTCCTGATTTTTCATTGTTTTGCACTTTTGTCACACTTTAATGTTTCCGATCATCAAACAAATTTAAATATTAGTCAAAGATAACACAAGTAAACACAACATAACATGCAGTTTGCGATAACTTGCAAGTCTGTTACAGCGCTGTGCAGGAATTTTGGTCCACTCATTGTTGTAATTCAGCCACATTGGAAGGTTTTCGAGCATGAACCGCCTTTTTAAGGTCATGCCACAGCATCTCAATAGGATTCAGGTCAAGACTTTGACTAGGCCACTCCAAAGTCTTAATTTTGTTTTTCTTCAGCTATTCAGAGGTGGACTTGCTGGTGTGTTTTGGATCATTGTCCTGCTGTAGAACCCAAGTTCGCTTCAGCTTGAGGTCACGAACAGATGGCCGCACATATATATATATATATATATACAGTCTTGACACATTCCATGCAAAACTCCAAAAATGGACTGGACAATATTATTTGCACCTTCTCTAAATTACAAGAAATAATTGCATTACAAGTTGTTGTGGAAAAGCATAGACAATCTCAAGGTTACAAGTCCATCTCCAGAGATGTTAATGTTCCTGTATCCACTGTGCGCAACATTGTTAAGAAGTTTACAGCCTATGGCACTGTAGTTAATCTCCCTGGACTTGGAGGAAAGAGAACAATTGATCAAAGACTGCAATGAAGGATTGTTCGAATGGTGGATCTAGACCCTCAATCAGCTTCCAGACAAATTCAAGCTGACCTTCAGGCACAGGGTACAACTGTGTCAGCTCGCTCTATACGTCTCCATCTGAATGAAAAGAGACGCTATGGTACGAGACCCAGGAAGGCCCCACTGCTGACACAGAAACATAAAAAAGCCAGATTGGAGTTTTCCAGAACTGACCTGGGGAAGCCAAAATCCTTTTGGGGGAATGTGCTGTGGACGGACTAAATACAATTACAGCTTTTTGGTAAAGCCCATCATTCTACTGTATTCAGAAAAATAAATGAGGCCCTTAAAGAATAAAAATACAGTCCCTACAGTCAAACATGGTGGAAGTTCACTGATGTCTTGGGGTTGCTTTGCTGCTTCAGGCACTGGATGTCTTGACTGTGTGCGTGTTATGAGATCTGAAGACCACCAAAGAATTCTGGGGTGCAATGTAGGGCCCAGTGTCAGAAAGTTGGGTCTCCGTCAGAGGTCATGGGTCTTACAGCAGGACAATGACCCAAAGCACACGTCAAAAAGCATCCAGAAATGGTTTCAGACAAAGTGCTGGAGAGTACTGGACTGGCCAGCAATGAGTCCAGATCTGAATCCCATAGAGCACCTGTGGAGAGATCTCAATGCAGCAGTTGGGAAAAGGAACCCTTCCAATCTGAGAGACCTGGAGCAGTTAGCGAAAGAAGAGTGGTCCAAAATTCCTGTAGAGAGGTGTAGGAAAATCATTGATTTCAGTTATTTTTTCCTAGAGCTGTGCTACCAAATATTAATTGAGGGTGCCATTCATTTTGTCCAGTCCATTTTTGGAGTTTTGCGTGGAATCTGTCAGATTTGGCTTTTTTTTTCTACACTTTTGTGTCATACCCGGCTCGTGGGAACAGATTCCACCATAAATGCATATGAGAGTTGATGGACAAATCTCCTGCGGTTTGCATTGTATTTTGACACCGGTCGCTGGGTAATCAGCTGCTAGCTACATTCGGCCAATAATTTTCCAACCGGCTACTTTGATTAGCAGATTGAGGGATGCCAGGTGGAAGGCGCACCCACAGTGCAAATTTCAGTCAGTTCATCAGGAATACCCAGCTGTATACCCGGCTTTAGAGTTTAGATATACATTAAAATTAGGGATGCACCAATACCGTTTTTTTGGTATTTAGTACTGATATATTTTAATTTTTTATGGTAATCTCCGATCCCGGAAGTCCCATTAAGGAAGGCGGGGAGTGGAGTTCTCGCCCAAATATTCAGTATTGGCACTGATACTAGTGTCGGTATCGGTGCATTCCTAATTAAAACTTCCGTGACAAAAAAGAGCAATGTAGGCACAGGTAGCCCTGTGCCTACACCTCTGACCTTGCTTGCTTTCTTGTGGTGGTTGCTCTTACCCGAGGTGACCTGTGAATTTGGATAAATAAGAAATACCTGGTCTGATTTGCACAAAGTGTAGAAAAAAAAGAGATACATAAGCCAAGCTTCTTTGGAACGTCACTGAAAGATAGCTGTTGTATTTTTCTCTAAAAAACGGCTTCATGTTCTTGGCTCAGGCCTGATTAATAAATGCTTCTTTACCTGACTTCATAATCTCAGTTGATGCATCTAAATTCCACTCAATGTATTAGAGAATAGAACAAGATAAGATTCTCACAGGCAGCACTAGACTGATGAATGCAGCCTCCATCAGAATCTCAATTATCCCTCAGAGACCATTTTTTTTGCAGATTTGTTATGTGATCTGAGCTTCAGGATTATCACTAGAGGAGCTTCGTGACTCGCCTAAAAGATACAAATAACTGACATTCATTTTGAATGGGTTGAAAATTGCATGGTCTTTGCATTTATGTATTTGTATAGATATATCAAATGATAGATTTGATCCATGTGAGGCTGGCAGGATTTCACAAACACAATCTAGTCCTCTGAATAGAACAGTTTACTCTGGTAATGCAGAGATAAAGCACATGGTGGAAGTTCTGCAGAGATGGGTAAAGATGGTATTGTACCACATAGCTCATATAATGTCATTTTAAAAGTTGTTTTTAAATCTTTTAAAACCTGAAGCATTCATTAAAAAAAAACCTGTTAATCCTGTCCTGAAGGTCATTGTATAGACGCTTCTGCGTTGTCCCTAGGGAAGCACCGATACTAGTATCAGTGCCGATGCAGAGTATTTAAGGGAAGTACTCATACTAAATGCTCCGATACTTACCTCCGATATCAGAACTTCCAGTCAGAGGGAAATCTCCCTCTGACTGGCAGTTCCGAGGGAGCATGGAGGCAGCTTCCTTTGAAATCAAGAAGCCAAGCGGCGTGCTTTGACCTGCCTCCTGGCTTCCTGATTGGCTAGGAAGCTGGCTTCACGTGTTGCTAGGCAGCCTAGCTTCCTAACCAATCAGGAAGCTGGGCGGCACCTCATGACCCACCGCCCGCCTTCTTGATTGGTCAGGCAGCCTGGCAGCCTCGGGAAATGAAGTCGGTGTTCTTTCGATAGAACACCGGCTTTCCAGGCAATCAGGAAGCTGGGTAGCAGGTCATGATCCGCCGCCCGGCTTCCTGAGAATCGGGGCACCGGTATCGGTATTCTGTATTGGCGAGTACTGAAAAAAAAATATCGGTATTCGATACTGCAAAACCGGTATCGGTGCATCCCTAGTTGTCACACGTGCCCCAGATGGAGGCTTCCACCAAGTGACTGTGCTGACACACATTGCGCCGGCATGGTTCACCATTCAAATTTTGAGGGAGCCATTACAGGTCAATAATGTGCAGCTAAGAATGGAACATGTACTTGTAGACAGAAAGGGGATGGGGGAGATCAACAGTACTAAGTTGCAAAAAAGATTAAAAAAGGAATACAGTATTATGAAGCAAAATGCAATTGCTTATGATGATCAGGGTTTTAACCCTTGTTCTCACCTCTGCGATACGACAATGCAGATGTGCTCCTGGTGCGCTGTGAATGAGCTGCCTACCACAGTAAAATTGCACTGAAAGAAGTAAATGCATCTTTTTGGTTTAAATCACATTGTACCCCTTTGCATGGTAATAGGTAACTATGCAGTGTGGTGCGATACAATGCACATGTGATGGCTAGGTACATTGGGGTGCGATTAAAAAAATAATAATTGCAACATGCAATGTGTGATCCTGTGCTGCATGGCACGCACTCCAATATTGCATAGATGTGAATGAAACCTTAGAAAAGTAAACAACATTCAGTTAGTTTAAGTTACACTACTGCTGCATGATTGTGTGTTTCTCAGTGTGTTTTTGCAGCATGTTTTTGCGTGTTTTTGATGCATTTTCATGCGTAATGTTTTTTGTTTTTTTTCTGGCCAACGATAGCAATATCTGCTGTGACATCATTAGGCATTGTCTTTCTTTAAAGAGACTTTAATCACAAAAATGCATGTACATGTGTTTTCCCCTCACTCCCATTGAAGGCTATGGGACAAAAACACACTGTGTAGCACCAAAAGAAGCACCAGCACCTTTCCAAAAATCACACTATACCATGTTGCATTGGTGTGAACAGGCACCATTAAGAATAATGTGATTTCCATTGTCAAGCAGTGCAACACGATGGCAAACACAGGACAGATTGCACTAGTGTGAATGGGGCCTTGGGGTTCAGACATGATCTTACTGAAAAACGCCCTTTTCACTTGTTCGTAGGCGGTATGATAAAGGGGTTTACCATTTTATTGACATCCAGCTATCATAATATCGTTGGCAACAGCCATTCCAAAAGACATCTTATACCCATTGGACCCAAGGCTCTATGAAATTTTTGAAGGTTGATGCTTTTTTTCCCCAGACATATTGACTTTGATTGGATTTGCCAACAGAAATTGATCCTCTGTCCCATGTTGGCTGTTCTTTGCAGCGGTGAGGTATTGGGGGTTCAGCGCTGTGTTGTTGTTGTTAATATTAGTCTACCAAATATTTAATTTTCACATCCTCTGACGTGTACGCTTTTTATTTTATCATGCAGTTGATATGTTCTTTCAATTATTTAGGTGGTTCCATGGTAGATAAGTATCTGAGCCTCAGACAATTGCTGTTAAAAGACTACTTTTTGTAACTATGTATAATGTTTATACATGCCGCTGTTCCCATTTCTGGAAGTGAATTTATTTCTTCATTCCAAGCTTAAGAAATATAAATTACATTTGTATTGTCTTCCATTTCAGGCAGAACAGAGTTTTAGCGAAGAGGAAGAAGAAAAACTTCAAGCTGCCTTCTCACTTGATAAACAAAATCTCAAATTAGTCTTGGAGACAATCTCATTTATTTTGGAACAGGTACAGTAATTCCTCATTGCAATGAAAGGGAAAGAGCTGTGTGGGTGAGCCCTAAGCATGCAGGTTCTTAAAGTTATATTAAATTTAAAAAAATGATTAATCTTTTTCAAATGCTGAATTCTACAAAAAAGCACAGAGCGCTCCAACGTGTGCAGAATCGCCTTTATTTAATGTAGCAAATGATAAAATAATACTCACAAACCTGCAGTAAAAAGCGCTTAAATCGGTCTCTCAGTCAATTTCTGAACGGTGAACCCGGTTTCAATAGATCAACACAGTGGACCGCGCTCCGCTGGCTGGCATGCCGCCTCACGGCTGTTCGTCTGTGTTTCGCCGTGAGGTGGCATGCCAGCCAGTGAAGCGCGGTCCACTGTGTCCACTGTGTTGATCTTTTGAAACCGGGTTCACCTTTCAGAAATTGACAGAGATCGATTTAAGCGCTTTTTACTGCCCATTTGTGAGTATTATTTTATCATAAGTTACATTAAATAAAGGCGATTCTTTATGTCACATGTCGGAGCGCTCTGTACTTTTTTTGTAGAATTCAAGTTAGTCTTTGTGAGGGAGCAGTACTGTGTGTGAAGATCGCCTTTTGATTCACGTATGGGGAGGAGGTTGATCAACTAGCTTCCACAAGCGCCTGGGGATCTGACATTGTTTTATTTCAAATGCTGGTTAAATCACTTTTAATAGATTCTGCTCCTTGATGTTTAAAAGTTTTAGTGTCCGGTGAAATCAGCTGGTCCCCTGAGAACTGGCTCTTTTTTAGGGTGGCCTGACCGATCAGGATGGAGAGCGGTGTGGGGGGGGAGACAGCTGTGCTGTCTCCCCCCCACAGGAGCCTGAGGCGGCAGTGAGGGGGAGAAGTCAGCTGTCAAAATAGACCGAGCTCTCCCCGCCCCGCCGGCTCAGCCTCCTGTGACAGCGGGTCAGAATGGAGAGCGGGTACAAACACTCAGTGATCGCTGACGTCTTGTAAATAACTGGACATAGTGTGGGTTACTATGTACCAGTTATGAATAGGAAGTGATCTACATGAACTTTCTGTTCATTCATGATTGTGTACATAGTAACTGATACTATATCCACAATGTATGAATGAACAGGAACACTCTGTATACAGGATTCCTGTTCATTTATAACAAGGGGTGCAGAAAAAGAGATTGAGGACTTTGTGTCCTCAATCTCTTTTGCTATTTTAAAAGGGAAATATCAGGAAAAATATAAAAAGTTTATAAAAAAAAAATTAAAAAAAATGTAAACAGGTTAGAAAAAAAGCTATTTTCGGTTTCGGCTTGACATTTTTTTTATTTTGGTCCACCTCTAGTAAGTATGTGCGGCTGGGGAGGGCGTCAATTAAAGTACATCTAAACCCAAGAACAGAAATGCAATGTATTGCCAGTCCTCAGATGTGGTGGCTACATTCGTTTTCTTCATTTTCAGTTTTTTCCCTTTAGTGTCACCTGGTTATCTGCCTGTAACACACTTTCTGTCCTAGGGTGACTGTGCTTACTCATTGTACAGTATCTGTGGAGGAACAGCATTGTCATCTTAGGACAATAAGTGTCTTAGGACTACAGAACATCTCTCCTCTTCTCATCTCCTTAACATGGGGGGTTGTTCTGTAGTTAAAGTGTATGAAAAAGCACAACTTTTTTGTTTGTTTTGTATTGAGTGCGTACAGGTGAGAGAGACCCCCTATCAAAATGTTATGTTTCCCCCACCTTCAAATGTTGAAACTTTTTAAACTGATGTTTCTTGACAGGTGCAATGTGTTTTACTTTTGTCTTTTTATGATGAATGATTTGCCTATTTTGTAGCTAGTTTCCAGCTGCAATTGGGGTTTTTGGGTCACTTTTTCTTTTTTATTTATTTAATGGTTTATTATTTTGCTGTTAAATGAACATTAATTAGAACAAAATACTGTATACAATATGCTTTTTGCCTCATCTCCAGCTTGTGCCTGTTCTATAAATTCCCCCTTTGTACATTAAGCAAAGAAGACCTTAAGGGGTTACAGCATAAAGGGAGAAGGCAGCTGCCTGACAAGTAAATATTTTACAGTTCCATTAAATATTAAATTCATGTAAGTAGTAATCTGAAAAATGTTGGATGCATTATTCATTCCTGTAAATATGTCATAGGCTAACACGTCTGACTATACTCACATGGGCTTGAACAAAGGAAATAATAGCATGAGGAAAGGATATGTGGGTGTGTTACACACGGTAATCAGTAGTTTGCACAGGGAAAATGACGGCTAAAACTTTATTGGTTACAATGTCATCATCTCTGTTTTTTCAAAGAAATATTGTTAAGGTTGGCTACCATTCTTTCGTTAAAGCACTGTATGGATGTATATGGATGGATGTATTTTACCCACGCACTTGTGTTGCACCACAACACACGGTTATGCATTAGCACACATTGTGATATGCTTAAAGGAGAACTATGAGGTGAGTGCTTTTCACTCACCTCATAGTTCTAGCCGACCTGTGACAATGAGACTGTCACAGGTCGGCTCAGTAGATCGGGAGGTGAGCGAAAACATACTGTCACGGCTCGCTGCCGTGCACGGGGAGGAGCTGGATTCCCCCCTCCCCGCTCCGATCTGCCAGCGCTGACTGGTGGATCGGACGGGGGAGGGGGCGGGTACAGCTGGCTCTGCCTCTAGATAGGCAGAGCCAGCTGTCAGTCACGCAGCTGGGCAGATCCCGGCACAATTGTCGGGATCCGCTTCGGCGTCTCAGTTTACTGCGAGCAGCAGCTTGCGGTATACTGCGGCGTCTCAGTATACCGGGAGCTACAGCTCGCGGTATACTGAGCCTAGGGTGACGGGAGGACGCTAGTTTGTGTCCTCCCGTTACCGTAAGGAGAACTATGGGGAAAAGACTTAACCCCATAGTTCTCCTTTAATTAGATAAAAATTGTGCCTGCTCCTTTTTTTTTTGTGCATTAGGCAGCCCATTTAAATGAATGAGCTGCCCTAACACAATGTGCAGAATCTTGTGTTACCTTATCACAACAGTGTGAATCTAGCCTAAGTGAGTTTAATGGTTACTGTTGCTTTTTATTTCGCTTTTAATTAAGAACTCTAGGGAAAATTATTATTAACCCTTGCAGTGGGGATACCCCCTTTCCCCACACACAATGCAAGGGTAAAGTGCTCATTTGTGTCTAGGAGGGAAATAAAAAAGTTATACTCAGCTGATCCTCTGAGCCAGCTGGCTCTTAGTCCGGTCCCTGGAGCCTCTCTTCCCTTCCACTGCAGCAGTCTAAGGTCCCGTATGCACACTGTATTGAACATGAGGACGTTAAGGGACATTCCATTGCTGCAACGTAGGAAGAGACAGGCTAGTGCTGTCACAGCCAGCTGGCTCTGAGTATCAGGCGAGTATAACTTTGCTATTTTTCTCCCTAGACCAAAATAGGCAGTCAACCCTTGCAGTGCAGGGGTAACCCCACTGTAAGAGTTAATAATTTTCACTAGTTTTGCTTTAAGCCAACTTTTTTATTTTTTATTTCTTTGCTGTCATCTTTGAATTGGTACTGACAGTGTCCTTCTTTCTGGAGGGTGACTACTTTTGTTCCCCATGGTCCCTGTGTGTGTTGACTACAATCTCAATACCAATTATTAGTAAATTAAACGTGAGATTGTAGTCCATCACAGGAGTGAGCTTGGAGCGGTGGTTCCTTTACAACACGCACAGGGACCATGGGGAACAAAAGCAGCCCCCCTCCAGAAGGAAGCACTGTGTCAGCACCAATTCAGAGATGATTTGGGGATTTTGAAGATAAATGCTAATTGGTTGCCATGGGCAGATTTTGTCCGAGTTTTGATATGTTCCCTCTAGATTTCTTTGCCTTAAAATTTGTTATATTGCAGAGTTGTGTGTGCATACAAAATGCAAAAATATACATCTACAATCAAATGTATTGTTTTTCAGGCAGTGCATCATAATTTAAAAGCCTCAGTCTTGCGCCAGCAGTTGGAGAGCATCCACCTTGATCCAAATAAAACACAGTCTTTTGCCATTGCCTGGGAAAGTGCGGGGCAGGAGACCGTGGAGAAGTTCAGGCAACGGATTTTAACTCCAAAAAAGGTATACATTTAAAACAGATACTTTACTGTCTATAAAGTAAATTTTTTTTATTTCAGTTACGTTGTAAGTTTTTTTTTTCTTGTATTAAAGAGGAACCCATATCTTTAAAATAACAACAAACACACCTTTAGAAATGTTTAGTAATGACAATCTACAATCACATACTTCTAGATAATTGCCGGCTTTGTATTCTTTGCATTCCTTATTTCTCTTTTTTCCTCAGTCTTCTGACAGTGGCCATGTTTACTAAGGGCAGATTACTAGCTCTCCCTTTTTGTCCTGGAGCTCTGGCACATGTGACTAGAACATGTGACCATGCAGATCATCTCAGGGGAAGAAAATGTCTTTTACTGAGATCTCATCAGATTATAGATGAGATTTCCCAGCAGTGCTCTGCTGATGTAACCTTCCCAGGATGCAACGCTTGTGCATGATTACATAATTTGTGCCAGAAGTGGACCAGGAAGTAGATGAACTCTATAAGTAAAACAAATTGTTTGTTTAACTAATAAATGTTAGATTATTTTAAATCAGCATTCAGAGCTGCAGGTGTGAGTTTTAGTGGCAGGGGGTAGAGGTCCACGTTAAGATGTTATTAGAGTTATTTTTATTTCAATGAAGTGTTTAACAGTCAAATGTTTGCGGCTTTTCCAGTTATTTTAGTGTTCTCTAGCTAGACAAGACACTTGTTTAAGTTTTGCTTTTAAGAGGAAATGCTGAAGCATTAAACCCTTCCTGACTTCTTCAAGTGAAACCCCTTCTATTTACACCAGAAAGACGCTATCCATGTGCTTGTGTACTTACTGAACTCTAGGAGACTTTTTTTTAAAAAAAATTGCTTCATCCCCGACTTTTAATTCCTTATATGATCCTCTGTCTCCAGTTTTCATTGCCTCTAGTGTTATGTGGGCAGAGCTGAAAAATAATTATGAACCTCAGATTTCCTGCTTGTTCTGGGAATTGTTGTGGTCTTCAGTGTGCTTGGTTGTCTGCTGGAGGCAAGTTAATGTAATTCCAGGAGCCATTGTGATTTGTACATCAGAGGGCTTTCTGTGTGTTCAGATTATTCATGGCAGCCAGGAGAATTTGGAGAAGTGAGTAGAGCCAAGGAAAGGGTTATAAAAAAATAGATAAATAGGAAAAGTTATTAAAGCTACGGTAACTCCAGGAAAGGGGGTTGTTTTACCTGCCAAATGATTTGCTTTTCTATCTATTCAGTCCTGTTTTTTCCCCAGTCCTCACAGTCAGCACAGTCAGGAGGATGGCACCATTTCCAGCTTCGCACCTACCTCTTCCAGGCTGAGTATTACTGTACAGGAGATACAGTTCAGTAGAGCCTTCTTAGAACAGAACATATTGACTTGTCTCATTCCATCGCATATCCCAAAAATGAGAGAATGATTTTTCATTTCAGGATAGTGAGCAGAGCCATGCAAATCATTCTTTTATACCCCAAACAGCCAGATGCACATCCAGAACTGATGGTACAACTATAGCCTAATATTATAGAGCTATTTATTCCAAACGTTATTCAGCTGTTTCTTGGCCTTCATCCGTGCAGTGTAAGGAAACCATGGCTTCTATGGAGAAGAGTTTAGGACCTCACGAGACAGTATAACCAGGGGTATAACTAGAAATCACAGGGCCCCATAGCAATTTTGTATGGGGCCCTGTGATTTCTAGTTATGTCCTTGCAGAGCCCACCTGAGATCCCAAACAGCCAATCTGAGAGTGACCCTGCAGAGTCCGCCATAGACTATGGCAGGCTCTGCAAGGTATGAGGTGGGCTGCACACCTCTTACCTGTCGCCCCCGATCTGCTGTCCACCTCCAGGGTCGCTGGCAGGCCCCGCTTCCCCTTCCGTCGCCTGGCCCCGCTTCCCCTTCCGTCGCCTGGCCCCGCTTGCCCTTCCGTCGCCTGGCCCCGCTATCCCCTTCCGTCGCCGGGCCCCGCTTCCCCTTCCGTCGCCGGGCCCCGCTTCCCCTTCCGTCGCCGGGCCCCGCTTCCCCTTCCGTCGCCGGGCCCCGCTTCCCCTTCCGTCGCCGGGCCCCGCTTCCCCTTCCGTCGCCGGGCCCCGCTTCCCCTTCCGTCGCCGGGCCCCGCTTCCCCTTCCGTCGCCGGGCCCCGCTTCCCCTTCCGTCGCCGGGCCCCGCTTCCCCTTCCGTCGCCGGGCCCCGCTTCCCCTTCCGTCGCCGGGCCCCGCTTCCCCTTCCGTCGCCGGGCCCCGCTTCCCCTTCCGTCGCCGGGCCCCGCTTCCCCTTCCGTCGCCGGGCCCCGCTTCCCCTTCCGTCGCCGGGCCCCGCTTCCCCTTCCGTCGCCGGGCCCCGCTTCCCCTTCCGTCGCCGGGCCCCGCTTCCCCTTCCGTCACCGGGCCCCGGCGATTGTTATGCCACTGAGTATTACCATACAGGTTATGGTGAGAAGGGACTAAATAGTCACAATTCTGTAATACAAAATTTCCATTTAATGATTGCTAATAAATATATAGTTGCAATCACTGATGTATTTTATATCCACCTGGAGTTCAGTTTTAAATAGAATTAAGAAAATGAAATGAAGAATGCACAAAGTATTGACTGTTGTAAATCTCTTGGGGACATGGAACGAGAAAGCCATGTTTGGGATCCACTCTTTAGGTAATCACAACATTTAATAAAATCGTGCTACAAGCTCCACTTGTTACAGATGTCCATTGAAAAAAAGACAAAACAGTGCTCTGTGTAGGAAAGTAACTGGAAAGGTGAATAGCGTGTGGTGAACTATAAACCAAATGGCTATCTAGCAAAATACATCTTATGTCATGTTTTTCTTTTTTATAAACAAAGGTGTAGTTTTTCTTACATTTGAAAATATATGACAAAGCCAAAGAACAGAATCAAGATATCAGTGTAGAAGTGTAATCCCTATTCTGTTCTATAGTAACTTCCCTACAGGGGAAATATATGAAGATAAATAAAGTGAGATCAAGCTTATGTAGAGGTTAACCCTATGTCTTGTAAAGGTGGTATCAGATACATGGTCCAGCTTCTTGTCATCATTGACTTAAGAAATTGTTTTTAAGGGTGCAGTAAGGAGCACAAATGTAGAAACAGTGTTTTGTAATGCAGTTGTAATAGCAGTGACCTCTGCTGTCTCCTGTTGTATGTCAGCAGTCTCTGACAGCTTTCTTTAGCCCTAAATTCACTGTATGTTTGGTGCGGTACTTGAGACCCTCTATTTCAAGAAAGTTGACCACCACTGCATTAGAGAATATCAAGTACAGAAATAGTGTGCCTTGTGCCCTTTAGTGCAGTGGTTCTCAACCTGTTTAACCTCAGGAGCCACATTTGTCCTTGGTCATTAAGTCGCGACCCAAGTCTCACCACACTGGAACGCACGACATTGTGGTACTGCATATTCCAGTGCAAGCGATCAAACTGTGGGAGGTGTGTTTTGGATTTGAATTTTAGGAGTTCAGTCTGGGCTGCTTTGCTGTGACGTAGCTCCATCCATACGTACATTATTTGTACAGTTCCCTTGCACTCCCCGTAGAGGTGCCGGGAGCCAGAATGTAAAAGAATATGGACACCGGCACTCCAAAAGTAGATAGAATACGTCTATTTATTTGACGTACATGCACAAAGGTAGCATAGCACACTTAGTGCAACGTTTCGGGGTCACACAGGATCCCCTTCATCAGGCATAACAAGTGGAGCCAGAATGTGACGCCACTCAGGTCACACGAGGGAGCTGTAAGCAACGCACGTATAGATGGAGCTCCCTCGCGGCCATACCCCAGCCCACCCCACCTCAAACTGACACTCACTGTCGGGCAGCAAATTTGGAATGGTTGCTAGGCACGAGAACTGACAGTGCTGCGTTATGGGAGAGGCTGAGGAGCCTCTCACCTAGTGCAATGGAAAGCATTTGGATCACAACCCACCAGTTGAGAACCACGGCTTTAGTGGATTCTTAGAAGCATATGGAAATTGTATATAAATGCGAGGAAAGCAGATCAGCAATTACCTATGTTGTTTGCCTGCCATGGCTGTCAAAGGGATGGGGTGGGGGTGTCTATACAGCGGTGCCCCAGAGCTCAGTCAAGTTCTGGCAGGTGGCGCTCCACTCCACCTCTGCTGCTTGACAGCAGCAACTTCAGGTCTACATCTGCTGATTGACAGCAGCAATGAGCAGGTGCAATAGCCACAAAACTGACACGACCAGCGCCAACTGCACAACCAAAGAAACCCTCCTGTGGCCTAAAGAGTTAATCAAAATCCAGTAAGGCCACCTCGTAACAGACAAGGGATCCTGTAAACTGCATAGAAAAGAAAAGAAAACACCGGGCGCCTGACCTGGTGCAATAATCCTTTTATTAATGGAAATAATAACAAAACTCTTTATACTCACAAACGGAGCAAGAACAATATCACATTGGACTTGTAGTGACATTGTTCTTGCTCCGTTTGTGAGTATAAAGAGTTTTTTAATTTATTTATTATTTCCATTAAAAAAAGGATTATTGCACCAGGTCAGGCTTCTTTTCTATTTAGGTGCAATAGCCAGCCTGCTATTGGCTATTGCGAGTTGAAATGGCCAGTAGCAGCCTAGCTATTCATTCCCCTGCTATCTGTTGTTTTTTTTTTTTTTTTAACAGCAGATTGCAGGGGATCCTGGAAATTGTTACTTTTGCTCAAGCTTTAATTTCACTGCTTACTGTGCTTTTCTCTGTAATAATAGTTCATAAAAATGTGAATACATAAACTCTCTGAAATTCATTATTTCTTATTTTAGTGCTCCTTACATTTTGCTGCCTTCTAAAGCCACACATGTAATAATATATTTTGTTTGCGCCTCACTGATTTTAAGGCCTGACATTTTAACTCCTCTTCAAAACTAGTAACACCTTATCATGAAGTGTATGTAAACCCTAATAATGAACTTCACTTTTAAATGTAACATTTGTCAGATGCCTTCAGAAAAATACCTGTTGGTCTTAAAAATTCAGAGTTGTCCTTTTT